TCCCTCTGAACTGTTCTTAACTCTGACCAGCTGAACCAAGCGTAAATTGATGGGCTCTACACCAGAAAATGTCTTTTATTTCACTGAAAATGTTGTCTGAATGAAAACCAAAAGATTGTGTCATTCATCATACTGGGCATTTTTTCAACAAAGGGATTTCAAGAAAATCTCTGGTTCAGCAAATGCATAAAAGAGAATCTTTTGATTTTCATAGCTGTACAGTGCAGCACTAGCAGGGTAAGCTTGGTGTGTAATTATAATTTCTGAGAACAAACTGAAATAAAAGATCTTTGTGATGAAATACGTACTCTAAAATGTGAGTGCTATATTCTATGGATTGTCATTATTTTGAAGTCTTAAAATAAATAAATGTTTCCAGAAGCAAACACAGGCTATTTAGATGCCAAATTCCTTTGTTTTCTTAAGTGTCCCTTTGAATGCATAGAATCCAGCATTTAGCACTTTTTTAGCATCTAATTAACTTGTTATCAGGGAGGAAGTCACAGAGCAATGCCATTCCCCATTCTCATAAATACCAGAATCTCTTTCAAAACTGTGGAGGCAGAGAACTAATAATAACAGCTTTTTTAGCTTTACTCTTTCCCTTCCAGCTCTACACCATACCTTAAAGAAATCCTCCCTCTAACTCAGGGGAAAAAAAAGGCAACAAAAAACAAATCCTAAAAAACCCCTCCACAGAAAGATATAACCCTCAGGATTTTTCCTATTATTAACGTACATTATTCTTTTATTCTGCTTTGAGAAACCTCATTCTTAGTACATTTTTAAGTTAATGGAGATGAGATTCTGGGGAAGATTAACTAGGGAGTTTGCATATTTTCTATAACTAGACTTCCAGGAGACCAATTAATTTTAACTGGAGTGATAGAAGGACAGTTCTATTATTCACCTTTTCAAAGAGCAGAACAGGCTTTGCTTGTATTGAGTAGGCTCATCAAATTTACATCACCATTTAATTAAATGTTTGTAGCAATAATTGACCTCAGGAGTAAGTAATTTGGTAATAAATAGATTCCACTGTTTCTAAATACTATTTTACTGACTCTGAGATGCTATTCATAGCCTCATAGCTTTGCCACAAATCTCATTAGCAATTTACTTAAATGCATATTCCATTGTAGAATTGACAGTGAATCAGAACGAAGTTTAACAATAGAGATTTCAGAGCACGGTCCAAAACAGAGAATAACATGCATTTCTCTGAAATTTTTTAGGGACATCCCACAATGGAGATATGAAAAAAAAAAAACAAAACAAACAAACAAAAAACCCAAACAAAACCAAAAAACCACCAACAGAAAACCAAGCTAAAACCTGATTTATTTAGTGTCTTCATGTTTTTCTATTTTTTTAAAATCTGCTTTAATAATTGCTTAAAGAATTTGGTGCATATCTCAATTTGAGTTTGATAGTGGTTCAAGTAAAAAGGCAGGACCTTTTTATTAGTTTTGATGAAATACAGTGATAACCTCAAGAAACCAAAATGGACACACATTTCATGTCCTCCCTCCTCGGAACTATCGATTTATTACTCTGCTTTTGTTTAAAACCTATGAGCTAAGTTCAGAGGTGATGCATAAAATGCGTAATTTAGAGTTCTTTATGCTCAGTTAGACACCTTAAGACCTACTTACACTCACTTACTAGAGTATAAGTCAGTGAAATGGAGTGTAAATTGATGTGATTTACATGTGGAGGAGCTGGCAGAGTGAGAAGGTATTACCTTTAGGAGAGAATAGACTTTGTATGAGCAATTTCTAGTGTTCAGCTGGTTTTCTTGCTACTCCTCTGCACCTCTGAGTAAAGATGTCTGCATCTGACTGCTTAAGGTCCTGTGATTTCTGTGAGACTTGCTGGGCCAAAGGCACTGGTGAAATATAAGAATCGTGATAAAAGCTGTGTGCTGAGGAATGAGTATGGTGTTTATAAATAAGTAACTAAAGGCTACTCTTCCCATTCCTCTTTGTGGTTAGCTGTAAACCCAGCAGTCTTGCAGTTACTTGTAATGACTGCCCTCATCCATGGCCCTGCTTTCTGCTGGGGAGATTTTTACATCCAGTGCACGCTGCGTGTTTTGCCCTGATGCCGTGTTTGAGAAGCTGGCAGGTAAGAGGAAAGCTCCACCATATTTTCTGTGGGATAAGAACATGCACCTGGCAGTTACCATGCTGCTGTAATTTCACACTCATACCCTGCGGTAAGTTGCTCTTTTGCCAAGTGAGCTATGTAAGACCTTGTCAGCTCCCAGAATTGTACCACTTGAAACATGTCTGTTGAAACACTACCAGTACAGAGGCAATCCCTGCAGGATAATGAACCATAAATCTATTAATCTCAGTTTCTACTGCCTTAAAACCTCTCCTGGTAGTATATCAATTTTATAATTAAAAAAAAAAAAACAAAACAAGACCTGACCAAAATACTTAGCCTTAGATCAAGACTATAACATAAGCAAGATTCAAGTTTCAAATTAATCTGAAGTACTATGAAAATAATGGGATAAAGCATAAAGAATAAAGGAAGAGAAGTAATGGAGATATAAGCTATCCTAGTAAAGACTCTGGGAAGACTTTAGCCTAGGCTCCTCTGGAAAGTTTTGGAGCATATATAGATGAAGCGTGAAAACAACAAAACAAAAAAATGCATCTAGCTTTTGCTTCACTGGCAAAAACAAATGCAATTGTTCTGGCCAAAAAATATTTCAGAAAGTATTGTTCATTTTGTTCAAAGATCTAACACTAGCTTTTCTTTTTTATTTTCTTTTTTCATTTCTCTTTTTGTTGGTTTTGTTCTGGTTTTTTGTTTTTATTTATTCCACATTTTGATATAAAGCCCTTATCAACTCATTATTTTAGTTACATATTTAATTACACAAGATGATATAGGTATTCATTTGGGTATGATCTATATGTAAGCTTTTTGCTAAGTATATTAGTATTAGATATTGATAAAGTTAAATTTTATAGGCAGAAAGAATTTAGCCATTATATGAGGTATAATTTTTAGGTACCATAAGTCCTCTTAAATTCTGTTTTTTTTTCCCACAGCTAAACTGTAAATAGGTTGCTAACCACAATAAGTAAACCTACTCTAGGATTAAATTGCTATTTCAGTTTGCATTCAAGTCTCGATTTATACTAAGAAGATTTTGCAGTGCAGCCAAAAGCTTTTGGTGCAGGACTGAATCCAGCTAATGCTTTCTGAAACTGTAGTCAAGACAAAAAAAATAATTTTTTGTTACATATTAGAATGGTCATGTGTTCCAATAGAAATTCAACTCCCTTTCTATACAACTAGCTTCATCTTTATTAGAATTATAATTTTCATTCTTATTTTCAGTTGTTTCTAAATAAAGCCTTGCAACCAACCTTGAATTTACACATGCACATTTCCCAGATAGCAGAATTTATTTTAAAACAATGAACATTAATGTCACCTAACTTATCTATAAAGTCCTTCTTTGAATAATAAAGACATGAAGTCATCAAAAAAATTGACTAATTGGTGGCTACAGTTACAGTCCATTTTCAGCTCATTGTTAAACCATGTACCCCATAGAACCCCCAAATATTTACCTAATTAATAATTAAAGGAATATCCTACCCGTTTATGTTTCAAAATAGTCAACATTATATTTTAAAACAAGTGTTTTAAAATAAAAAAAAAATATAATTGAGGCTAAATATGGTACTGAGTTTAAAAATAAAGAGTCTGGGAGATCCTGTAACTAAAGAGGAAATGAGGGTTTATTGTGTTTCTCTTTATTAGAAAAGAAATATGAAGTACAAGGAATAAATTTAGAAGAAAGAGAAAATATGCAAGATCACTTACATGGTATATCCCCAAAGAGGATAAGGAATGTGAGGCCACTTGGACTTACTGCTGATGTTCATGCGAACAAATCTTTATTTTAGGGGAAACTGACTCAGCAAAGCAGATAGCTGCAGCAAATGTCAGTGAAACAATTTTCTGTGCACCAGCAAGGCATTGGAAAGAGTTTGTGTGTGTAAATGCAGTTAAAGAAAGCAGCAGTCTGCCCCCACAGGGGCTCTTCCAGCGGCTGAGATCAGCAGGATGGTTTGGAGCAGGGTGAGACGGGGGCCAGGCGCAGGCCAGCCCTGGCTGACCTGAGAACTCCTCATAGCAAGGTCAAATGAGTGCAAATGTCGATTTGCCAGCACCACTGTGACATTTGAAAAGTGTGACAGTGGTTCTGGAATTAACTAAAGGGAATATAATTATCTGTGATATTTATGTGTCTCCAGTTACTGTGCTGTTTTGGTGCCAGCTGTAGAGCTGGGATAATGGCAGTGGCCCAAGGAGATGCTTCTCTTGCCGTGGTTCTTCTGAGTACACAAGGAGGCATTTCTATATTTCTGTCTTCCTGCACTTTTTCTATTTACAGGATACCTGGGGATACCACATTGTGTCCCTAGGATTCACAGTTAATATGGAAAAAGACAGAAAATAAATAAGAATTATGGGATTTATTTCATACAGTCATTGGAGATATAGATTCACTTTGGCCCATATTAACATAAGAATTCAGGAAGTAGATTCAGACTCCTGTAAAATGAAGTCCTAAAGATATTTTGTAAAGAATTCATTGTCTACGTTTAGTAATTTTTAGATTTCAGTAATTTTTCTTTTTCTTTCTCCAGCTTCTTTTAATCAATTTTCTAGGGAAGTTTTAACTAAAGTACTATCTGAATTGTAGGGTGAGGTTTTTGTTCATTTCTGTTTAACAGACTTCAACCAGTTAAATTTGAAGAATTCACCAAACAAAATTAAAAGCTATTTGTGAACACCTTCATCTCCCCACAGTTCTAGCAAACATTTTCAACAGTTTTTCACTAAATTCATCAGCACTGGTATCAGGCACGGGAAGAATTTTAAACCTGAATAACTGCATAGCTGTTAGCAATGCTATGTAATTTAAGAACAACAAGGTTTTGGGTCTATTAACTGATTTTCTGCTTTGTAGAAGCCATAATAGCCCTTGCATGAGTAAATTAGGCATTTTCTTCAAACATTACCCTTATAATTTAAGAAATTCCTATATGTACAAAAACGTGCAACATGCGCCAAATCCATCTACTTGTTTGAGCTAAGATCCTTTTTTTACAAAGAGAGTACATGGCAAATTGTAGATGTTTATTGCATAGTTGCTTACTGACTGTGATTCTGCCTTACCTGTGTTTTTAAAGAGCAGATTCATTGCTACAGTATGAAAATGGTACCTCACTTCTCTAAGGTGGTTCTGTACCTTTAGAATTTGAAATATTTATAAAATCTGATGCCTGAGGTTTATACATTGACATAATCCCAACCTTTTGTTCTTGTTCTTTGGTTTTAAAGGTCAGACTGTTGTATAATGTTTTTGTTCAGGGGATGCATATTTTTAGGGTGAAGAAAAATACACCTTCAAACGTACAAAGCTATACTAAAATCTAGGACCCACATTCTCTTATGACTAAACTACTGTATCTTCACTGAAGTAAAAAGAGGTGCTCCAGATTGTCAGAAGTGTGAAAAGAGAACAGGGATCCTTCCCTAACATGCATCACTGTGAATTTTAACACCATACATATGTCTAAAATCCAAAGAAATTCGTATCTATATTTGGCTTTGGAAGCACATGAAATTTGAGTGAGCAGTTTTCTCAAGCAAGAATTAAAAATAGCAGATAGAGGTATCTAATGCAGAGCAAAATGAAATAAAAATGGCATATGAATCAGTGAGCAATTCACACTATGACCTTGTTTATTGGTTCATGAATAGTTTATGTTCTCTCAATCTTTATATTAAGCAGAATTATTCCTGATTTTAAGACAGTACCTGCATTGAAAACAGCATATTCCCTGTTCATTGGCAGGTCTCCTTTGGGTCAAGTTTTTTCCTATTGTGTTTATCAAATAAATTCACATTTGATACTATAGAATGAGCTAAGGTAATCCACTGTAGCAGTATAAATGTTATACCTCACCAGCTGTTTTTGGCTTCAACTCTGAAGGTCATTATTGGTACAATATGAAGAGAAGTGTAATGAGGTGTATTTACTTAGGAAATGCCTAGAGCAGAGTCACAGCAAGCCAGGAAGAGAGGAACATTTCCAAGGTCTAGTCTAATTGATTGGAAGTTATCAACTGTCCCACACAAAGGGAGAGCTCATGAACATTTCACAGAGTAGAAATACTCATTGAGATCTTTAATGAAAAGCAGAAGAAAGTCTGTGTTTCAAAGGAAATGAAAGTCAATGGGTCTGTCATATCCAAAGTTTCCTACTTTCCATCTTTTTCCATGCCTAAGACTGTGATGCCTGTATTTTGGGTTTGGGCCCATTCCACTTATGATCTTGCTGAACCTTTCTTTTTTCATCTGAGATGCAACAAAGGACAACCATACACTACTGAGAAGAACATGATTCTCTCCAGCTCCCTTTTCCTTGTGCCTGTAATATATGCTTGAAAGATATGACATTGTTCTCAGGAAAGATCTATTTTCTATATGCATTAGCTAATCCCATTAAAAACTCCATGGAGTATTTTTCATTTAGGCACACAGAAGAGCAATTTTTCATTGTTTGGAGAACTCCATCTGTATTGTTTTATTAAACAGAATGAAAAGGAACAATCAAGCTCGATCAAAGCACTTTCAACAAAAGATCTCACATGTACAGCACCACAGACTAATCCCCCCTTATGTCAGTCACTGACTCCCTACAGGAACACTGATTTCACAGCAAGAATAGAGTGGTGAACTCTCAATGTCCTTTCTATCCCAAATTACTGTATGATTCTAAAATCACATTTTGGTTTTCTTTGGTCCAGGTTATGATGCTTAAAACTGAAGTTTGGACGTCTCTGTTACTGCAGGAAAAGATTATAACCTTAAGAATAATTTCCTTAAATGAATCTAGTAACTCGCATGCTCAGGAATCACTGAGTAAGTAAATGAAAAGAGGATTTGACACTGATCTGCAAAACAAAAAGTTAAATGCATTACATTTCACCATCAAAACTCTCCTTCTTAGCTTCAGAATTACATGTAAAGACAATTAGTGGGCTAGTCAAGTAAATCAGATTTTAAGCTGTGGTTAAGAATCTCAGAAGCCAGAGTACAGCCTGACTGTTGATGTAGCCTGGTATCCCACCCTGACAGCACTGCATGGAAGCCATCCATTTGGGATGCTGTCCCTGTTTTCAGGGTGTACCCCAGTCATCCAGGTTAAAAAGGGGAAAAAGTAGAATTTAAGGAGGTCTTTCTTTATTTCTCTCCACTTCTTGACTCTTTGGATAGGATTACATGGGATAATATGAATATCAGTGATATGAACATCTTTCCTCGTTTGTCCGCATTGGATAATCATTAGTTTGGAGTTTGGCTCGACTTGGATTTGAACTCTGATTTTTGCCTGTTGGTATGTTTTCAGCTGCCTCAGAAAGATGACAAGATAAGTGTAAAACTCTCTTACCAAGGACACTAGCAGACAACAGCCAGCACAATGCATATGCTGTGACAGGAACAGCCACAGCTGTTTCAGGAGCACTGAAACTCTCTTTTTGGTGTAAAGCTAATGAGAATTAACTTGGAAAAGGAGGAAAGAAAAACTAAAGAGATATTGCACTGTTGCAGCAATGATTTTTCCAGCTATGTTTTATAGACCAAACTACATTAGCCACTTCACCAGTGTTTGCATCTGTGAAAAATGGAGAAATAATTCATGAATTCCAGGAAGAAGTTAGAAATACATTTATAAATTTGTTCATTAGAATTTTTCCACAGAGAACTCGTAACTCAATTTGAAGACTTGACGCATTTATAAAACTCCTGAAAGGTTAATCTCTGTGCCCAGTGTATTTCTCATATCTTTATTTCAGCCTTCTTAGTACAATATCTTTGTAATCTTCTTCATAAGATGTGGCTATGGATGCAAAGTTTTATTTTGCCGTTGTGTCTTTGAGCAATGCTTAACATCTCTACACGTGTTAATTATAAGCACAGCAATATCAGTTTCTGGGTCCAGGGACAATTAAAAAGGGTACCAGTTGTAAGGGACAACATAGATAGATGGAATTCTAGCCACTATTCCATACCCAGACAATGGCTTTGCTCTCATGTCACGTTTTTGTGACAGTGAGTAAGTACTGAAAGAATGAAATAAGCTCCAAATTTCTGTGTAGCAAAAGCTGTCTCTTGAACTTTGCTCTGAACTTCTGATCCCATAGAGATAATGTTCTTCCTAGTGCTGCTGAACTTCTAAGCTATAAGTAATAGCCAAAGAACCATCCCTGCACTGTCTTTTCTCCAGAGAAAATTTTCTATTTGTGCCCATGAGTAAAAAAAAAGGATCTGAATACTACTTTTAAACAAAGCTTAGGAATCAGCCACTCTGCTTCTCTACATATCTCTGACTATATTCTGAAGTACAAAAGAGAAGAAAATTGCTTTAGTACCCTTGAGGATATAGCTATTAGACACTAATGTTGCTCCTTTTGGCACAGTGGCATAGATAAAGAGAGACAGTCAGAAAATATCAACTTATCAAACACCTCAGCAGAGTGAGACGATTATATACAACATATTTATATAAATTATTTCACCTGCTTGCCTGTATATAGCTTTGGTTACTGTTATCTCCCAGAGAGAGTCATCCAGAGATTATCCACATAAACTGTGCTAACATGCATTAAACATTAGCTCAGCATTAGCTCAACATTTAGTAATAATAACACTGTAATTTTGCAAGTAGGACTGAAAAAAAGTGGTGAGTTATGGTTTACAAAAATAGAGTAGAAGAAGATTTTATGGTTATTTATATATTTATAGTTAAGGTAGGACTTCTGAAAGCGGCCTGCTTTTTTCAGTGTTGCTCTATCTTTTCATAGTCACAGATTTCCTAGGAGGATACCTGTTGCTCAAAGAGAGGGTTGTGTGATCTCATTCTGCAAATATCCTTTCTTCTCCGAGCCAAGATATTTTAACCATATTTCCATTAAAATTTTAACCAAATTTTATACCTCAGGGCTTTTGTTTCACTGGACAGCTGGTTGTATGTAGTTATCTCAAGTCAGTGCTCTCTTTAATTTCCCTTCCAGTTCTCTCCCTTGGAATAGTTCATTAGTGAAGTACTAGACAGAACTGGTTAGGTTTTACCACCAGTGGCCCCAGTTCTTAACTCAGTATGGCCAGAAATAGGATTGACTTGCCTGAAATCAGCTGCAGCACAAAACCAGTGGTACAGAAAGATAAGGTTATAGGCACTTTATGGAGTATTTGTAGTCCAGTAGACCACTGACTTTAATGGCAGCAAGGGCAAGATCATGATTTCATATCTTCTGAAGGAAAATTATCTTAGTATATACAATTTTTACATAATTTTAGGAAATCTGTGGATGCATATCTAGTTTATTTTTATTTTGTTATCTTTTCCTTGATTTTTCTTGCAAGGCTTGAATAAAATATGTATCAGAATCTTTTGAATGAAGACTGAGGGAGCAGAACTCCTGCAAAAGGTTAAGAAGGTGTACCACTGGTAGAGAAAGAACACTTAATGCTTTGGTGGTCTGAGCCCGTGAAACAGCAAGTTCTGGAGATAATTAATGAGAATTCATGACTGATTTTTAGTTTGAATATTATGGCTATAAGTAGAGCCTTAATACCTTAGTGACTTGGTAAATTGAGAGACCTCAGCTTCTTCTTTATAGTTTTTTTTTCTGTAGCTTTTCTAACAATTTGTGGGCATGCAATCTTCTGGATGTTACATATCCTTGTTTAAGAAACTTAAAATAGGTTTGGTTAAACATAAAGTGTGAACCACTGCACTGTGGTGCTACAGCCACCCTTGCTTCCTTTTTCCAACATCCAGATCTACAGCCCTCCTTGACAGAGTCATCAAGGTTCTTTTCTCTTAGGAAAGTTAATTTATACATATCAGATTTCCTCTAAGGGTGAGGCTTCTAAACAGCACCCTGCATTTTACATAACTAGGACTCTGGGAGTGGCTTTCTTCCGTACTCTTTGATACTGGAGTGCTGGCTTTCCTGGGCTGTCCTCTAATTTCAAATGATTTTGGTGAGAAGAGATTAAAGTCTGTCATGCCAGAGATTTGCATGGGCACTTCTTCATTCCATATGCAACACTTTGGTTTAACTTTTGATGGGAAAGTAGAGCTCAGAGTGTCTGACCTATTTATCCCTTTTCTGTTCCCTTTTTTGAGATAAAATTGTTATATAGATGAATAGCACACAACAGAGAATGCGTGTTTGGTTGCTATGTCACTTTTGGTAAATCAAAGAGAAAAATCTTTTGTAATCAGCTAGCCTTTAACTTAATAACACTTTTGATAAATTGCTTGTATACAATAGGTTATCAAACCCAAACATTAAAGATTTCAGTTTGACATTGCTGGAATGAATCATACAGACACGAAAGGCCAAATTTACAATTCTTTATCTGGAGTAAAGTAAAAAAACCATATCAGTTTCAAAACCTGCACTAATGACTAAATAAAGAATTTCAAGTCTGGCCTAAGGAAGTTAGAGCTAGAAGCATAACTGTTCATTACAACAGAATTTACAGTTTCTTTACCAGAGAGTTTCAGAAAGCTGTGGATCACTGTTTATAATTTATTGTATACTACCATTAAGAAATACCTCTTTACATTCTTTTTTTTTTACCTTTTTTTTTCTTTTCCTAATTTATTCCCTTTTCTTGTAACTTTTCAGCTTCCCACGTACACAACCCCCATGATGGATCTGCTACACTCCAAATCATGTGAGTGACAACAGGTTTGACAGCCTTTGGGGCGGTGAAGGATCTGGCGAGAGCAAGCCTCCCCAGCATGCTCATTAGGTTAGTAAGGATATTGTCATGGATGGCAGTGCCATATATTCTTGTCAGCCATAAGTGTAAAGTGATTGCAGCCAAACCTTTCCTCACAACAAAAGGAGAAACAGCTGAAAAAAACCTGCTTGAGATAGTGAGTTGAAAGATTATGATGCTTTCTAATTTATAAAAGAAGGCTCCTTTCAAAGTACTCTGCAGCCATACCTGCTTCTTGTTTCTATCACTTGCACACTGTAAAGAGGCCTTACAGTGGCTGTAAATATAACCTATTTGGATTTTATAGTCTTTTATGCTGCTGGAACTTTAGGCTGAGGCTTTAGGATAAACACAAACTAAAGCCAGCTTGTTCTATTAAGACCTTCATTCTCCTGTTTCAGAGATTTCCCACTCAGAAATATGGAGATAAAACATCTTTACTGGGTAACTCTGACTGAGCAAGGGAAATATCTACTTCAGTCTGCCCAGAACTCAAACACACCCTGTCTTCAGCAGCTCTGTGTGTGTGTGTGTCCTTCCTTTAGGTGGCCAGCAACAGCAGACCCTCTCCAAGGGGATGATAGCAAAGTAGGTGTTATCTGGCAGATTCACTGGAAAAAGGCGTGTGAGTGCTGGCTGTGATATGGTGGAAGGAACAGGGAAACAGCTGTCAAGCACAAAGTCAGCACCTCAGCAGCTGGAATCTACCAGCAATTTCAGTTTATGCTACTATATTAAAACAAAAATGCAGTCAGTCCCATTTCAGTTTGCATTAAAATGTGCTCTTTACTAGCTGCAGAGGTAATAATCATAATAACTATTGCAGGTGAACATTTACCATATTTGCTCTCCTGTCATATCACATCAACATACATGACTAAACATCCTGAGGTGGAGAGATGACGATAGTACATCTTCATTTCCTTTGCACACCCTCATATTAGCCAGGTAAAACATGATTTCCACAAGCTTCTTTTGATAGAGGTAACAGGAATTGTTGTCTGTCTAAATCCAGCAAGTGAAGGGCTTAAAGTCAAATGACATTTTCTAGGTCAGAAAGAGATTCAGCTCCTGTATTTTTCAATGGCACGCCAGAACCCTGACTTCTGCCTTGTGCTCCCACAGCTAAATTTTATCTCATAGAGCTGAGCAGTGGTGATGAATGTGCTGTGGAATTTGCTTTGCAAAACAAATATTTAACTTTCTACACATCACTGAAGACCTGATAAAACTCTTGAGTGTCACCTAACTAATTTCCTTCTATTTTTAATTGAAGAACCTTTTTATTCTTTTAATCTAAATATATGGTTCAAATAAGAATGGAAAGGCCATTTACAGTCCTTTAAAAATATCATTCATGAAAATAGGATTCACATAGAGTGTTCAGAGTGAGACTTTGAAGGAAAAAAAATCCTTTTAAAAGCACCAGTTATTTCAAAAAGAGGAACCACATTTATGATTAATCAAGAGGGCCAATGATTCCTTCTTGCTTTTGGGTGTGGAGAGGCAAATGGCCAGGAAGGCAGGGCTGGGCTGTGTGTGGGGGTGATGTGAGCAGCTCTGCTACCCTGAGTGATGCTCCCCTGTGCACAGGCTGGTGCTGCAAATTCCATGGTGGGGAAGGGCAGAACAGGAGCTGTGTAAGCATTCCAGAGAGCAAGGTAGTGAGGTAGAGAGCTTGTTCCCAGCAAAGACATGGGAATGCTGGCATGAGTAAATCATCTAGCTCCATTCTACAAAATTGGAGACTGGAGTCCATGAAAGGCGCTTTATTTCCTGTTTATTGTTTACAGTAACTTCCTATGAGAACTGAAGGCTTTCTTATCTTAGGGCAAAAAATTTAAACATATCACAGTTGCTGAAAAATATATATCCAAATGCAATACCAATAGGAAAAGTCTGTCTGAAAATGCCAGTGTGTGGAAAGGATTCTGCACAGGGAGTTTTATACAGTTTTTTTCTCTACTCTTTTCTATAAATTAACTTAATATAGTACTTATTTATTGTTTGCATTTATTTAGATTACTCAGTCTATAGCAAGATTCTAATCTGAAAAAAAAAAAAAATTGGACCTTTTGTTTACTTCAATATCCAAGATCTTCTAGATTTAAGTTTTAAATTTTTTTATGGTAAATTTTTTTTCTCATCTCCCTAGAAAGCAAAGGAGATCATTTATAAGTCTTGACATATTTAATCTTGTTAAGTTCTGATATAAAAAAAATCCCAATAAATGTAAATCATTTGAGGGCTAGGAAGTATTAAGAAAGAGACTGGGACTGAAAAGGAAAAAGTCATTGTATTACCATATATGTTATTTAAGTGCCCATAGATTCAACATTTAATTAATTTCTGGTCATTTTAACATAAAATGGAATACAGTAATAAAGAAAAAGTGCATTGAAGGGAGACAAGGGTTATCGAGGAAACAAATTGTTTCTATATTAAGTACATACAAATACATTAAGATTATACAAAACAGAAAAGACACAAAAAAGGGGGGAATTACAGAGATCTAAAGCAGCATTATTTGCCTGGGGAAGGCATGTTTATATGTAATGATTATTCACTGCTTCTCTAAATGCAGGAAGCAGTGGAAAACAAATTATATTTTCATATAGTAGGCTTAAACCAAACAACATGTTTTGGTTTTTTCCTACATAAAAAAAATAAAATATTAATCTGTTCAACTTGGTGTTAAAATATTTGCCAATGCCAAAAATTTACATAAATTAAAAAACTCATTAAGCAGACTCAGAGAAGAGTAATCTATGAAAGGCTAATAAATATAACTTAAAACCTGCTGCTCAGGAAGACCTTGAACTTCAGATCAGAGGAAGTTGTTAGATTGTACTAAGAAAGTAGGTCTTTAATAAATTTGTCTGTGTTTCTGTGCTAATAGAGGAACTACTCTTCTTGCATTTCCCTTGATCAGTCCTGAAAGCTGGAAACTACATGGAAGTTTTGTCCTACCCAACAAAATTACCTTTTTTCTGGAGTTCAAAAAACCTGAACAAACATCTAAAATTTAGCAAAACTAAATATTTTGATTGTCAGAAAAATGTTGGCCAGGTTGCAGTGAATTAAGGTTAAAAAGAAACAGTAAAAAGGCAAACTACCTATTTACAAAACAGAAAATCTCATTTGCCACCCACACCTATTCATATCTATTTGCAGTCATTACAGGTAAGAACATACTGCTGGTGAGGATGCTTAAACATACAATTACACAAAAAATGTAGCAGGTAAAGTAGTAAAACATGCAGAATAAGATAATACAAAGGTTAGGCTTATTTTATATTGGACTGTGTTTAAAGTTTTATTATGGGTTTTGGACCAAATCCACTGAAAAATTATAGAATCCCTTCCTCTTGTTTTTGTGATGTTTTACTGTAGGATTATTTTGTTATTCTCCTTGCCTCAGTCAGTTTACCTAACTTTTTGCTTCCAGTCATCTAAAAGAAAAATTTACAAGTTGTATATTTTAGTAAAACAAAGTGACTGAATTTTTATTATGCTCGGCTCTGAAAAGAAATTATCTTTTCTGCTCACTCTTTGCAGCTAATTATTTAATCTCCTTCAAATTCTTAGTAAGAATAAGCCTGCCTTTCTGGTGACTGATAGAGAACTTTTCTGATCTATTAAACTGGGGCATACCTAATCTTAATATCACACCAAAATGAATTGAATAAAAAAAAAATTAAAGCACAAATCTTTTAGATTTAGAATGTGAGGAACAAAACTGATTTAATTGCCTCTAAAGATGGTGTTCTAATTGTGCAAATTTGATTTCAAATTACATCTGGAAACTCCTAGTTACTATAGATCATATTTATAGTGATATTTCCACCATTTTGCTTTGAAAAATCTGGGTGTTACATAAGTGTGACCATCCACCCTTAAGGAGAAGCAGTTTTGTTAAACTATCTGAAACCAACTAAACCAACTGCAGCTGGAAGAAGCAGAGAAGCTGTTACACAGAAACTGGGGCTTTTTTTTTTTTTTTTTTTTTACTTAAAAATAAGCCTTTTCCTTTCTGTCTCAGAAAACCAGACTATCATTCATTTCAATGACAAATATTTCCTCTTCTTACAAAATCTTGATTTTTCCTAGCCCTAAGCAATCGTGTCTGTAATCATGCTACTGAAATGAGGAAGTCCTGAAAGACCAGCAGACTGAGAGATGACTGAGAAGTTGGAGCCATGGCTATTTGTCTAGGTAAGATATCCTTCTGTTATTAGTATGGAGAAGCAGTGATGATCTAGCACAGTTGGAACTAGATCTGCTTGCTCTGAACAGCTGGCAGAGCAAAGGTGAAGCATCAGCTATTTAGTGTAATTCCGTGTGTTATAAAATCCAGAGTGTCATGGGAGTGATGCATCGCCTTGGCTTGTCAGACTGGTCCTTCTGTGGTGCAGATTATGTCTGAGTCTGTCTGAGTTTTCTCAGTGTTTGAGATAAGGAAAGACTTTGAATCTTGCTAAAATCCCTTAAGAAACCAGACACCTGAACTGCAAACAGATGACATAAGCAGCAGCAGTCAATAATTTGGAGGTTTATCTCTCACTTATACAATTCAGTGGGTGTTTAAACATTGATTTTCTTGAAATTACAATCAGGCTCCCAGGTTCTAAATTAATTTTTAACTAATGTACAGAAGGAAATGCTCCATTAAATTGCTGCTACTGTATTACTTGTCACAACACCAACACCACCTTCTGCTGTTGCAGAGGCCTCAGTTCAGCAGTCTCTCATCCTCCAAACTGCTTGAAATCAATAACACTATATTCAGTCTCCCAGAAAACAGTGAAAAGTCTGTTAGCCTAAACCTCACACAGAGCAAACAAGAGGTGGAAATTTATGTGATTGTTATTTACATTTAAGAGTAAAAAAAGGGTTGAAAAATGCTCTTTTAAGGCTGAAGTACTAAAGTTGTGTTGTTTATCTAGGACTTGGTGTCATGAATTTCCTTTGGTTCACGGACTCTGTGGGCTCCAAGGAGGGTAAAAAATTCTGACCTGCAGCCTGAGGTCAAAGTATAAACCTCTTCCTGAAGAGTTCAACTTTCCATAGAGCTGCTGGACTAGAATGTATTAATGTGATGTTCAATTTACCCTCATTTTCCTTACATGAAGGGAAATGTGGACATTCAGTAAAGGTGCCAATCAGCTGTGCTTGACATGACTGGACTAGGTCAGGAAGTTGCAAGTCTTGTTAAGTGCCTTCAGTGCAGAAGCAATTAGAACCTGATAGCCTTTTATTTCTCTTGTCACTTTCAGGTATTTTTAAATATAATATGACAGAAACAAATGCAATGGGGTGATTTTTATTCTACCTAGCTCATCTAGCATTGCTGTCAAGTTAAGTTATAATTTTGAGAGGAAATCACCAAATAACATATTTAATGGTTTTGCTATGATAAATCACATCATCATTATTCAGATAGAAAATCTAAAATAATAATACTATCTTCTCGATTTTTTTCTATTAATTCTGCTATATATCAATGGGAAGAGAAATGACAGCTGATATATATCCAGTACATATAAATGTGTTTGTATGTAGCTGCTCCATATTCCATTTAAAGGTAAAGCAGCTTCTGTGCATTCTATTGCATGTTCTTATAGCTGTAAATGGGCATGTGAAAGCAAACACAGTTGCATATCAACAGCTTAGGCCATCAGTCTGCACTGACCCTTTGAGGTCAATGAAAACAATGAGTTCCATGGGCTTTTCAGTTAGATTCTGAGTATATGTACCTCTTCAGCACAGATGTTTATTTCAACTGCAGAAGGAAACAAAAGTATTGACAGGTAACCATATCATCCTTAAAGCATGAGAACTTTGCTTTCACATATGAACCAAAATTTGCTTGGTTTGTTTCAGAAGGCTTTTACACAGCTTCACTTTAGTTGCAGTAAAATAGAAACAAAAATTTACTTTAAACTTTTTTGTGTCCTTGCACAATCTCAAAAAAGAATTTGGTGGCTCATGAATGTCTTCAATTAAGTAAAAATGCATTTAATTTGTGTAAGTCAATAATTTGAAACAATCATGCTTAGAAATTTAAATTAACATAATGAGCAGAAAAAAATGTCTCTTCTAATCTTTATATTGTTTTAGGTTGAACATATTTCATTGTTGACTTTTGAATTTGTTACTGGTTGAAGTTTAAATTGCAACAATGAAGGAATATTTCTTTCAGGTTTAATTTTCTCCTTGTTTAATATAGCTGTCAAGTCATGAGAAAAAGTCAGATCATGCAAATAACGTTTTTAAACAGAAAAATATTTTATAACATGGATAAACTTCATTTGTCTCAGCTTTAAAAAGGAATAGATTATTTAGAATTCACAAATCCATGAGCAATAGATTTTGTATCTGATTTGCTTCTTTTGTAAAGGCAAGCTGAAGCAAACTATTTCCTGCTGGTGTTCACAATAAGCATATCTCCTGGTTTCCCAGAATGATTCTCTTGAAAGAGCTAAAAATTGTCCAGGTAAAAGAAACCTTGAGAGGATCATATTTGGTTGAAATTAATGATTCTTCCAAAATTACATTTCTTATATATGGGATGCAATTTGCAAAATTTCATTTGAGGTAGAAAAACCATCACCATAATGCTAAAATATCTCATTTTACCATTTCCATAACAATTAAGTTTTGCGGTTGATTTTGCTACTCACATTTTCTATTTCTATTGTAGTTTTTTTCCCCCACTCTGTAAATTACACTACTTTAAAAGTTTAACCAGACACAGGAATTTTCCCTTCCTTATGTCACCTTGTTAAAACTTACCTTCCTGGAGGGTTTGGAGTCTTGAAGATTTGTTATGCATTGACTTTTTTTTTTTTCCAAAAATGGAGCTTCCAGCCTCTCCACAGCTCTAAGAGTTGATTTTCTAATGCCTCTTTATAGTTTGATTCAGATTTCATGTAAAAGAGTGATAATTCTGCGAGGGGATCTCTCAAAGTGTCCAAAGCTTGGTGCACCTGCAGTAGAGGTGCACAGACCAACTGAGGAGGTTGTATGTATCCATCTCAGGCAATTCAGGACAGAGCTGGATGTCCAAACTGAGAAGCTTGCCTGGTTCTGCTGGTTATTTTTAAAGTAAAACATGACATCTGAGCACCTCAGTGTAAAACATGAAATCTGCCCACCTCAGTGTAAGGAAAGTGAGGTTGGACCAGATGACCCCACCATGGTCCCTCCCAACCTTACCCTTTCAGTGATTCAGAGAGAACATCAAACTGATTTTCTCTTCAGGAGGATGCTCAGGGCTGGAGGTGAGACATGGCAGGCCACTGGGACATAGGTGTGAGTGACATTTCTGACACGTTCCTCACCACAGAGGCTCCCTCTTGGCTAATTATTGTCTATTGATTGCCGAGCTGGGTGGTTCCAGCCCCCTGATTGCCTTTAGTGTGCTGCTGTGGGGGCTCTGGCTGTCTGAATGCTCCCTGCAAGGGAGCCTGAGCACCCATTTTTTAAAATCACCTAAATCCTTTGTAGACACAGGACTTTGGTAAAAATAAAACTCCAGCTGAATGAGAGGACATTTATGAGTATCAAAAATGAAGTTATTTAGCAAAGATAATCTCCTGTTCAGATACCACAGCACACTATTTCATAGTGAAACTTTTGAATTTTAATTACTTGACAAATCTGAAAAAAAAATTTTCTGGATTGATTGTCAGTTTTCTGTATTTATAGTTTCAATTAACTTCACTGCTTATAAACCACTGTTTATGTTAAATATTTTTTAAAGCTATTAAATTTTTATTTTCACACAGTCTCTTGGGTTTTTTCTTTGTTTTGTTTGATGTTCCACAGAGATATATAGTTCCTTTAAGAAAAAAATAAATTTTACATTACTTCATACTGCTCATTGTTTTGAATCTTTGCTGTGTATTTCCAATAACATATTCAGGCTTTTTTGAAAGTATTGTTTTAACTGACTGCCAACATCTGAAAGAGCATTTCAGGACTAGTGCTTGAAATGTATATAGTTTTTCCAGGCCAGTTGAGTAATAAAAACATATTTAATTATTTCCAGCCTCTCGAATGGTGTACAGTGTAATTAACTATGATTTGGATTTCCAGGCTAATTAGAGCAAACTGTAGTACCAAACTAATTGGACACAAAAGTACCTCTGAAGAGCAATAAAGCAAGTTTATCACTTGTGTTTCATAAAAGTAACAAGAAAGTGGGATGAATGCAGTGGATATAAAAATTTAGGAAAACTATTCCTTGAAGATGATCTTCAAGGCTAGATGAATTTCTGTCCATTTCAGAATCAAGTGGGTCTTTGCCTTATTTGATTCAAACCTCCTTCCACTGAGGTGTAGCTGCCCACCAACATGCTGGACCTCATCACACAACTCCCTGTACCATCTCCTCCTTAGGCAGGAAAATATTTCCTTAGAGCTACTTGGATTCTCATGAATCCACTGACACATACTCTCAAGGTTTTATGACATCTGATATTTGTCTGAAAAATTTTGGGACTGACACTGAATTATATGAACTGCAGCTTTCTTAGTGGGGGGAAAGCTGTACAGGAGGGAAGGGAAGGGAAGGGAAGGGAAGGGAAGGGAAGGGAAGGGAAGGGAAGGGAAGGGAATTTCCTTAGAAAAAGAAAGGATATTTCTATCTTGTTACTTTTTTTTCATTGCTCTGTCCCTATTTTTGTTTTCTCATTAAAAACAGATAATTTTGCATGAATAAAGATAATGAAGAACTATATTTACATTTCTTTCAAACTGCAGCCTACATCTTTCTCTCTGATTGTGTGACATAATTTGGGGGTTGACTTCTGAGACATAGTGCACAGCAGAGGGAAAACTCAGATGGGTTTAATTTTTACAGGCCTGTTAGTCTCACTTCAGTGCCTGGTAAAGCTATGGAGAAGATTATTCTGGGGGATATTGAAAAATGCCAGAAGGACAACACATTCATCAGTCATCATGGCTTCATGTGGGGAAAGTCCTGCTTAGCAAGCCTGTTTCCTTTTATGATAAGGTAACCCACCTAGCTGATCAAGGGGAACCAGTTGATGCAATCCTGAATTTCAGCAATGCTTCTGACATTGTTTCTCACTATATCCTCCTGGACAAAATGTGCAGCCCTCAACTGCATAAAAACATCATGTGATGGGTGAGCAAGTGTCTCTTGGGTCGAGTGCAAAGGGTTGCACTGAGTGGGTGCTGCTGCCATCCAGGCACTAGTGGGGTTCTGCAGGCCTCTATCTTAGGCCCAACCCTCTTCATTAACACGATGAATATCTTCTTTAACAAATTGAATGCAGGACTCAAAGGGATAATAAACGAGGTTGTAGATTATACAAAATTAGGAGGAGCTGCTGGCTTTCTTAAAGAGAGGCCCTGCAAAGAGATCTCAACAAATGAGAGGTCTGGGCAATCGCCAACTCTATGTAGGTTTACAAAGATGAGTGACAGATTCATCCATGGGGAATTCTGAAATAGGGAACCCTGGGTGTATGATAGGATGGGGAGGGAGCGGCTGGAGACCAGCACTGCAGAAAGGGGCCTGGGGGACCTGGTCAATTAAGTTATGAAGACTTCACACAAACATGAGCCAGCAGTGCCCTGGGAGCCAGGAGGGCCAACGCTGTCCTGGGGGGCATCAGGCACAGCATGGCCAGCTGGGAAAGGCAGGGAGGATTGTCCTGTGCTGCTCTGCACTGGGACGGCCTCACCTCAAGTGCTGGGGGAGTTTTGGGCACCATGATATAAGAAAGACTTTGAACTATTAGAGGGCATTCAGAGGAGAGCCAAGAGGATGATGAAGTCACTGGAGGGGAAGCTGCAAGAGGAGTGCCTGGGGACACTTGGTCTGTTCAGCCTGGAGAGCAGGGGACCAAAGAGAAACCTTGCAATTACAACTTTCTCATGAGGGGAAGAGGAGAGGCAGACACTGATCTCTGCTCTGTGCTGACCAGTGACAGATCTGAGGGAACAGGCTGAACTTGTGTCAGGGGAGGTTTAGGTTGGGTATTAGGAAAAGGTTCTTCAGCCAGAGGGTGCTTGGGCACTGGAACAGGCTCCTCAAGGAAGCGGTCACAGCACCAAGCCTGACAAAGCTTAAGAAGCATTTGGACAATGTTCTCTGGCATATGGTGTGATTCTTGGGACTGTCCTGTGCAGGAGTTGGACTTCACCGATCCTTGTGAGTCCCTTGCCAGCTCAGAATATTCTGTGATTCTTTAAAGCCAGAGTTTTAACTGTTTTTAACTGTGTCCACTGGTTTTAACTGTGGAAGTGAGAAAGTGGCAGAAATTTTCTTATTTAAAGGATGGCTGCAACAGAAGCAAGTTCCTTCTTTGGGTATGTCAAAATCTTCAAAGAAAAGATGGTAAATGTAATTTTGCTTTTTTCTGCTTCAGTTCCAACCAAGAAACTAGTTGCAAAGAGGTGGCAAATGTCATGGCACCCCTGCCATCTCTCCCTGGAAATCAATATCTCTTACAGATCCATTGCCAGGGATCTGGCATCATTCGGCTGTTTTTCATGAAGAGTACGCAGCACTATGCCAAGATCCCTCCTTTAAAAGGCATAGTCATATTTGTTCCTTTGGTTTCAAACATGGGTTATGGCCAGTATTTCTAACTTGATCTGGGTTATAAAAGGAGCGTTAGAAGAGGAAAGCACATCAAAACCTGACATGTCTTTTAAATCTTAGCATCTGTGATAATATTTGTGATTTTTACAGTGTGGGGAACTCACATTGTACATGTTCTTCCAAGAATCCCATGCTATCACACCTGTAACAATGATGGTGCTGGAAAAATTAGCAATGGCCTGAAATGTAGTGGTGTCTGCTCATGCTTAAAAAACTGATGCTATACAGTCCATAATTACAGTTAAACTGTAACCTGAGACTGTTCATACCCAGTCAGACATGAAATGAGACTTTAAGTCCCGGAATCCTTGACAACAGTGCCATTCCCATTGATATTATCTCCAGTTAAACTATTCTCACTGGAAATTAATTGTCAAAAAATTAAAGTAGAGAAAAAGCTGCTGTGCATGCAGTTGTTATAGAGAGAGATTAAGAAATATTTTCCCCAAACATGGCATTGAACCTGCACTTGTACAGACTAAATATAAAATGTTTTGACATTTTTGGACTTTTACCTAAAATGGCTCATGGCTAACTAAAGGAGACAATTCTGTTAGCCTTGATATACAGCTGTTCAAATAATTTAAGAATTAGGGAGATGACCTGCAGGACTATTTTCATTTGAGCTTTTCTTTTTTAAGGAGCTAAGTTTGTGTTTTTCATTTAATTCCTCTAAGAGCTGTAGACCTTGTGTCGTCAGCAGAAAGAAGATGAACAATGTAAAAACTTAAGCTTGAGAGGAAACAGACACAGAAATGAGGTTTTTGGGTTTATTCATTGTTGTTTTTTTTTCCCAAATCCTTCCCTTCCCACTGCAGTAAAAGGCAGCAACCATATCTTACAGTGGCAGAGCCCAGAGCACGCTAATAGACTTTACTGGCCCTGACCTGTCTCCTCTGAGGCATTCACCCCTGAAATGGTCTCTTTTAAGCTCAGGTTTTTGAACTTAGTTTTTTCCTGTTGTGAGCGTGTCAGTCCTGTTAGACCCCTTGTTAGGTGTGTTGTGTTGTCTCTAGCTCTCTCTCTGTCCCAAGTGTTTTTTGTCCCTGACTGGGATTTCTCCTTGTCATGCTGGTGGTTCCTGTTGCCAGCACTGGGTCTGCCTGCTGTGTTAGGCTCCAGTTCCCCTTGGCACTCAGCTGCTAAGGACAGCGGTCCCTCCTGTTCCCTGAGGCGCAGTGCATACCTGCCGTGTATGTACACGTCCCCAAGCAGTGCTCTGGAAGACAGGGACAATCTTGATGCCTTTGCTGTTATGTTCTGGGAAATGTTTTTCTTCAGACCATTGTTTAGTGCATCACTTTTGTCTCGAGCAGGAAAGGAACAATGATTTTTCTTAAATAACTAAGGATTACATGATAATTTACAATGCAGTGACCTAATTCTCAAGAGTCAGTAAAAGCTGTTTCTACTGGTTTCAGGGGCAGCTGGGGTTCAGCTCTTCTGCAACTCAACCCCCTATATATCAAGGCCCTGGCCTAACATATGGAAAAGTTTCATCAGTTCCAGTTTTTCTGTTGCTCTCTAGGATGGTTTGTACCTTTGGAGGTAACTAAAGCATGGAGTAATTGGGCTGTGCTCTTAACCAGTTCCTATAACAGAGGCAAGAAACAGATGATTAAGAGTTATGCTCCATGTATGCCAGCCAGGGGACAAATATTTTTGCTGGAGGTGCAGGATGAATTGACTTTAATCCAATTTCTTCCTTCACAGCAGTGAAAAGGGGGTGGAGTGAATATGTATGCCTAAGAACAGGCTAACCTCGCCTGTGTCAGTCCTGTTGTGTCTAAATCTCCACTAATACTGAAAGAGCATTTGAGTCAATCACCAGAATACATTGCAGATAAATCTAGGGATGGGTTTAAGTCCTTTGCATTTTTCTATGGTAGCTTGAAAAAGAGATTAATTTATCCACATGATGCTCTTGGTTGAAGTGAAATATGCTATACTAGTCCAACACAGATGAGGAAAATATTTGAGGTTTACTTATTAGCACAGGTTTAAAACCCCTATCAGATGCTAATTTTCATTTTGCAAAAGCTATTCTGCTTGTGAAAGAAGGAATATCTCAGGTTTTCATAGTTCACAGTGAGCCACTTGTTCAGACTCGAATTAGACTGAAGGAAATGGTCTTTTTCTCT